TGTGTGTGTGTGTGTGTGTGTGTGTGTGTGTGTGTACAGGTTTCAAAAGGGGTGTCTGGTCGAATGGCTGACAAGGAAGTCGATGGCAATAGAATTTCAAGCATTCGCTCCGGCGGATTTATCGTTCCATTAACTGAAACGCCCTGTAAAGGAAATTGGATACAGCATTATTCAGTGTTTCGAGCCGCGCGAACATTTATGGGTGCATTTGATATACTGGCGGCAACGAGCGATAACTGTGCCCTCGCGTGCGTCCATTTCTTCTGTTTATTAAGCCAGGATCGACTACTGCGTTATTCCTCTCCGATAAAACGGCGTCGATGCACCGGATTGGTCGGCGTAACGTGATTCCGCTGCAGAATCAAGAAAAGGTGATTACGATAAAGAACCCCTGGATCTCGATCGCGTTACATGCAAGAATGAACACGATCGATGGACCGAGATTATGTGAAACGTGTTAAAACACGTGTAGACGTGTTTCATAGAATAATTTATTTGAAACAAGTTGTAAATTTCTTTTGTACAAACGGCTCCCTTCCTAAGACGAGGTGTTGTTTAAATGAGTTTTCGATTCAGAAGATCGTTTCAATTCCATATGTCGTATAAGCTTCGTGCGAGAAAGCTTTAACAAGATGTTACAGGGGCTCTGTGAATCGGCCCTTAGGGTGAATCTTCACGAAGCGCGGGACAAGTGATTTCAAGCCAAACGAACACACGAGAAGATGATGTTAAGCCCACGAGGTTTTGGATCATCGCGAGAATGATCGAAGCTCGACTGTCCTCCGATGTAACTTTCCCACAGAATCTTGTTCACCAAAATGAATCGATGAAAAATTCAATTTTTATTTATAAACCCTTTCGTATCTCATACGTACTTTTATAATCCATTAATTCCTTAATTTTCACTTGATATCTTCTCTGACGCCATTTCTACAAGCAAAGGAAGAATGTGATAAAAAGAAAATCATGAAAAAACAGAAAAATAATTTCATAAATTTTTATATCATTTAAGCTAACTTGACTTGTAAACACATTACACGCGTAGGTATTACGATCTGTTTGCGTCACGAGTTTCCTCAACTACAAGGGACGAGCTATATTTAAACACACAACGTTGAAACGATTAAAATAAAATTTATGCAACATATCCATAAAACTCGATCATGCAGCAAGAAGCTCGCAAGGAGGATGTTTGGTTGTTAACGGTTTAATTACTACGCTTAATGTGTTACCTGCATCGTAATGGGTAGTCAAGACATTTCGTATAACAGTCTCCTTATCTCATGCATGGCTGCTCGCCCGTGCAGTGACAGCAGCATTGACAACAGCTTGTCGTCATGACGGTTAGATGTTATATAGTAGCAATAAAGCAGCTCATTATTATTATTGCGATCGTAAGTCAAACTAGGCGTCTGAACGGCCTGCTTTACAGCACGATAATCGGTCAGCCGGCTCATCGGTATCGGCAACGACATGCACGCGTTTGATTACGCGAAAGGATAACGTCCAGTTAAATGGCGCTCAGAAATTCAACACCAATTCACTGGCAGGAATATCCATTTCTCTGACCGCTGACGTCGCATTACCGTATCCCGAGTCTTGATCCCTGCTCTTGTCGAGTGCTCCGTTAAATCTTCGTCACGAGGCATTATTGATCATTGTTAATATTATTATTATTATTATTAAAAACGCATGAATTAATTTACTAGACGTCTACGTGTGTGCAACAGTGTTTGAACTAAATTTGTGCTTCTAAGAACAAAGATCCAATATCGAACGAAAGAAAGTGAAACACCTGGATCTAGCTTCAATTGATGAAATGAAATTCAAAATTGCCACAGACGATGTGACAGCAATCGGAAGCTACCAAAGAAGTCCCGTAAATGAAATACTAACATTCCGCGTAAACGAATTTCCAGAAAATTCCCGCGTCCATCTCGTCGAGCCGAAGACACCGGAGTTTCGTCAAGAATGTCACCGGACACACTTGGGGACGAGACAAAATCGTGCGTGTCGTCCAGCGTTGTGCAATGAACATTTTTGACAAGGGTCACGGTGATACGTGTGCGTGCAGAGGAACACCCTGTATAAGGCAGGGCGCGTAGGAACGCCGGGCCGCGCGATGAGAAGAAGAAGGAGGGAAGAAGGTGGAGAGTTAATTGAATCCGAGCAGCGTATAAGTGGAATGGCCTATTCCTCCTCCGGTTCGCTCCTCTTATTCTTCTTTCTTCCCGCGTGCCTCTTCTCCTCCCTGTATCCTCCTTCTTCTTCATCTACCGTGTCTCCCTTGCCTTGCCTTGCCTCGCGCCGTCCTTCGTAGCTCCTTGTACCCCCTTCGGACGGGGTACCGAGGTGGATCGGTAGGTGGAAGGACGCCAGAGGACGGAGGGAGGAAGCATTCCTTTGTCTCTGCGCGCACGGACCTAGATCATATAGTATATAATGTATATAATGTGCATAAGAAGATGTGAAACTATGTAAAGTCGCAACTTGGCTGCGTTGCACCAAAGTACACTCTCGAATACTCTCGCAACTAACACTGGAACCGCACGATTTGTCAAGTCGAGGAAGAATTTTAAGCTTGGGATTAATCTGAGGTTAATACGAAGGATAAAAGAAGGATGTGACTTTTTATTTCACATTTTCTTCAAATTTAATTAAACATTGCCATCTAGTGACAATGATTTAACTTACTGCAACATAACCTATATACATAAAACATATTGACATTTAGTGTGTCTATTGTTAAATTACATTATAGATTAAGACCGTATTAACTCAGGATAAAATGAAATTTTGTACAGCATTAAAAAACAACATTGCTCGTGGATACCTCTGATATTATGTAATTTCTTCCTTTTTCAGGAGTCCACAATTTTTGACACGTCCTGTACATCCTGAACTAAGTTTCCTATTTCCAGTTATCAGAAAGTTCTCTCGATTCTGCGAGAAAAGCGTACTCCAGCGAGTAAGATGTGAGTCACGTGCATCAAATTCTTATCTATCCCTTTTAGAATATCTTATATATTTTTAAAACTAATTTTCCTTCCGATTTCCATCTGTTGGGAGTTCCCTCGATTCTACGAGGAAAGCCCGTGTCCCAGCGGGCGAGACTGTCGGAGATCCCGCGACACAATACCTCACGGTTGCATGCACACGTGTACGCGTGCTTTTAAAACAATTGTGCCGCTTATATTCCCTCCGGGAAGAAGAAACCAGATTGCGACGAGCTTGGCCGCCAATTGGACTTTCCACCATATGTTTCTCCACGTTCTTAAAGATCGTTAGATGTTCCCCGCGTAGGATTGGACACGAGACTTCACACACGCCACACGAGCTCCTCTATCGGCAAAAATCCACCCGCGGTGTTCTTCACGCGTGGACATTTGCGAATGATTCTCGCAATGACGAAGTGCTGCGTGTTGGATTCTCTCATCGATGAGAGCACCCCTCGCACACGTATTCTCTCGCGTATTTACGTACCCCGAAATAGCCGTACCCTCCTCCCTGTTTTCAGACGGCCCAGGGGACGAGGATGAGGACGCTGAAGAGGTGGACCAAGCAGCGAGGCCGAGGCGAGGGGGTGGGAAGCGAGCGTGTATACCGCAAAACCAGTTCGCTGGTGAGTAAACAAAAAACGAGAAGAAGCCAACGCCGCGGCACGGCCTCGTTGTCCGTCGCGAGGGGAAGAGAATCACTGCTTTATTGCTAATTCGAAGACATTCGCCCGGCAGAAATGAAATTTTATAGTCCGCCTTGTGCGAGCCGGGAAGGGGGCAGCCAAGCGTCACCGAACATACGTGGGAGCTGGTATACATCGGGGTGCCTTGCCCCCTTGGTTACGCTCCTGCCAGGACAAATGCCTCTGCTACGTGGATCACTCTCGGACGCAAGTCCCTTCAAATATCGAAATAGGGCCCGTCATCGTACACCTACGTGCGTGTAACCTGCCATCGACGCACGCAGGCGAAAATCTATTGGAGCACTCGGAAGTTTCGAAATTTTCGGGCAAGCGAGATCGTCGATATAGTGAAGCAGACGATTGCAAAACTGGTATTTAACAGCAAAGATAGAGACATTGATAATTCTAGACTCTTCGTTTCAATCATTTAACTTATGATTTAATATTTTAGGAGTAACGTGGCTTCTCAGCAGCCAGATTAATGGTTGAAGAGTTTTGGTGTTAAGGATGACACGAAACTTGTGATCGTTATGCAGCAAATACCAATACGCTGGTAACTTGTAATTTGTGGACAAGTTTCAATTATCCAAAAGTGCAATTTTGATGCTCGAGTCTAGAGTACGATACTAAATTTCAACAGCGTGAACAGGTACCGAGGCACGAAAATCTTCGAATTACGAGCGGAATGTTACTGAGAAATCTGACGATTATTTTCTCCGAAATCGTTCTCGGTTTCCAGCA